GCCGCCGCCGCCGCCGCCTTCGCCGGCCCCTACGCGGTGCAGCCGCTGGACATGGCGCACGGGCTCATGGAGCAGGGCGCCGCGCTGCTGCCCGCCGCGCTCGCCATGGTGAGCGGCGCGCCGGGAGCGGGTGCGGAACGCAGGGGGAACGTAGGGGATACGCGTGGGAAAAGCACGGGGAACGTAGGGGATACGTATGGGGAATGTACGGGAAAAGCATGGCGAACGAGTGGGATACGTGTGGGAAAAGCACGGGGAACGTAGAGGAAATGTATGGGGAACGTACGGGAAAAGCACAGGGAACGTGTGGGATACGCGTGGGAAAAGCACGGGGAATGTAGGGGAAATGTATGGGGAACGTACGGGAAAAGCACGGGGAACGTGTGGGATACGCGTGGGAAAAGCACGGGGAACATAAGGGAAATGTATGGGGAACATAGGGAAAAGCACGGGGAACATGTGGGATACACGTGGAAAAAGCACAGGGAACGTAGGGGAAACGTATGGGGAACATACGGGAAAAGCACAGGGAACGTGTGGGAAACACAGGGGAAATGCATGGGAAATGTATGGGAAGCGCATAGGGAACATATGGGAAATGCATGGGGAACGTATAGGATATGCATGGGAAATGCATGGGAAATGCATGGGAAACGCGTGGGAAATGCACGGGGAACGTATGGGAAACGCATGGGAAATGCATGGGGAACATACGGAAAAAGCATGGGGAACGCATGGGAAACACATGGGGAACGTATGGGAAATGCACAGGAAACGCATGGGGAAATGCACGGGAAATGCATGGGGAATATATGGGAAAAGCATGGGAAACCCATGGGGACCATATGAGGAATACACGGGAAATGCATGTGGAACATAAGAGAAATGCATGGGAAAAACACAGGAAATACCTGGGGAACATATGGGAAATGCATCAGGAATGCATGGCAAACGCATGGGAAACGCATGGGAAATGCATGTGGAACGTACAGGAAATGCATGGGAAATACCTGGGAAAAGCATGGGAAACACATGGGGAACGCGGGGGGAATGCATGGGAAAAGCATGGGGAACGTTCCTCACGTTTCCCCGTCCTCCCGCCCCGGTTTCCCCGTCCTCCCGCCCGTTTCCCGCGCCATTCCTCACGTTTCCCCGTCCTCCCGCCCCGGT